TCCCCCACGGCGTCCCCCGCAGTCACGTCTCCCGCAAAAGCGTTTGTGGGCGACAGGGCTGTTCTTGTGAAGGAAAGTGCCTTTTGGGTGCGTGCGTGCGGCACGGGGAGTGTGCTATTTGTTCCCGTTGTACGCCCAACTGCTGTTTCCCTTTGTTTTAGGTGCTGGGGTTTGGCAAACGGTATGGCTATTGCTGAGCAGTTTTTTTGGAAATAAGTTTCTTAGCTTTCATATTCCCAAGAGCATCTCCCCTCTCCCCCCTCCTCCCTTTGTCTTTTTTGTGCAAGCAAGGAAATTAGGTAGTCAAGGTAGTCGGTGTTGCCCATTTAAATACAGCAACACTGTAGCAGCGGGCAATGGGTATATATGTCCTTACATTCTGGTAAGAATTTGTTAGTGAAGAGTTATCGCCAGCGAGGTATTGTCACGTCCCTGTGTCAGAGAAGACGCGTGAAAGCACTGGGGTGATGAGAATGCATTGCGCCGTAGCACTGCCTCACCTTGGTGCCTTTTCTGAATCAAATCTTGTCAGTGATGGCACAATGTAGATAACGAATATATGACCCTGGTGTGTTTGCTTGGGTCACCGCAAATATTTATCCTGAGCCAATGCATTGTAAGATATATGCTGCTTTCTCTTTGCTTCAGTGGCAGAGATGTGGTTATAGTTGCTTTGTGACAGAAATGTCCAAACACTGTGCTATTCCCGCACCTGAGGACTCCTGTTGTATAAGCTGATGTCTCCATCAGATTGCTGTGCCACAACGTGCATTCAATCGGAGTATGAGGAACAAGCACAGAGATGGGCTGGAGATGCCGCAATATCTGTGACGGGAAACATTTGTTGGATTGGTTTTCTTTTAGCTCTCAAATCATGCTCTGTTTAGATGACATTTTCAGAGCAATGTTGAGCTGTTAAAGGGATAATTTAACACTAGCTCCCCCCCCCCCAAAGCCTGCAGAATTGTTTTTTCATTTCTAAATAGGTGCGTGTGTCCGTTGAAGGAGCTGGAAGGGGAGATGTCACTGAATTAGGCTTGTTGTAGAGCGCACAGGGAAGCCTTAAGCATGAAGAGCTACTGAATTTCTCCACTATCTTTTTGTCTCTCTCAAGAACGATGGGGTCGTGTTCAGCCTTGGGAAACCAACATCCTCAACATAGGAGGCTGTCAGAGACACTCTTCTGCTGAACATCTGACAAAGAGGTCCAAAAATTTGGGTAATTCCTATAAGGTGCTGGACACCTTACTCGAATGAAGAGTATTTGGCTCTGTTGCTGGAAAACTGAATGCTGACAGCTTGGACAGGTTGTCAGGAGGGCATTATGAAGCTTGCTCTCTGGGCAAAGATCAGCTTACCAGAGCATTGCATGACTCACTGTGGAAGCAGCTGTAACTGTGTGCTACGCCATGTATGGGGGAGGTAAAACACCTCTGTAAATGATGCAGATGCCACAGTTCTGGATAAACTGTGTGCATCTTAGGGGTCTCTGCTAGCACAGTGCACATCCTGCTGTGCCTCAGAAATCAGCCGTGCAGCTGTGACATACTGGCACATCCAGTGGACAACTGAACTGGGGTGATGCCCCTTTGCCCCTCACTTCTAGAGGATGCCAGAGCGGCACATGAATGAACCTCCACAATTAACACCTCCCTGTGCTGTAGCCCAAGCCCAATTAGCTTGATTAAATGGTAAACTGAGGCAGCTCATTGTTTCATTACCAGTCACTGAGCCACCTCGGCCATGGGGACAGCCATTGCTGGGAGACTGGTGAGACTGGGCAAGGAGGTTTATAACCTTCTCAGTGTTTCATTTACCAACAAACACCGGTTCACAGGTATTATTTGTCTGAGTTTGAGAGAGCAAGCCAGGAGAAGCCGTCCTGGGTGGCCCTGGCTGAGTTCTGGCTCGGAGAAAGACTTTCCTCAGGCCTAGTGCAGACTAGAGGGCTTGCTTGATTATTCTTTTCATCAAGGAAACTACTACGTGCTATGTGTATGCACTGTCGAAAAGGAAAATGGGGGTCTGTGTATTTTTAGAATCAGAGTTTCATAGGAAGATTGAGATGGTATGTCTGGAGGTCTCCACTCCAAACTCCTGCTCACGGCAGGGCTAGCCCCAGAGCTAGATCAGGCTGCTCAGGGCCTTGGCCAGGTGGTTCCTGAACATCTCCAAGGGGGAGTTTCCCCAGCCTCTCTGGGCACCTGTGCCAGTGCTGAACCACACTCAGGGAGGAGGTTTACCCTTTATCTAGCCAGAATTTCCCTTGTTGCAAATTTTGTAACCATTTCACTGTGCATCCATCAGAAGAGCTTGTCTCTGACTTCTCTATAACCCTCCACGCCCCCAAAAAAATAGCTGAAGAGAGTAATTAATGCCCCCCCAACCTTTCTCTACTCCAGGCTGAAAGAATCAGCTCCTTCAGCCTTCCCTTGTACGCCACGGGCTCCAGCACCTTAACTATCTCATTGCCCCCCTGCAGGACTGCGTCTGGTTTATCAGCGTCTCTCTTGTGCTGTATTTCTGTAAGAAGGCTACATCCCCGCCAAGGCCTCTCATTTCACAGGCTACTGTTTGTCCCCTGGTAGAACTGGAAAGCAGTGGGATGACGCGGCTGAAGAGACCTCAAGAGATGGCGTGGCCCATCTCCCTGCTCCAAGGGAGGAGCAGCTGCACCCCAGCAAGCTTGGTGTCTGCTTGCCAATCCTCCTAGCTGGCTCACAGGCTCCCCGAGTCA